ACAGAAGCTATGTATTGGTTATAAGGTAATACGTTAGCTTGGAGAGTTAAGTGAGATAGCGTATTATAGCGGCGCTGGTCGTTTTAGAAAGCTAAGTGGTGAAATATACAGCCGAGTTTGGACGTTTTAGAAAGCTAACTGGAAATAAGAGAACTAACTAGCGAATCCTAGCTGTGTTGGTTATTCAGAAAAGCTAACGGAAAGAAGAAATATCAGTTAATGTGGATTTTAGCTGAGTTAACTATATAGGAATTAACTAAAGAAAGTTTATTCACAAAGCTAACTGACCATAAGAGAGCGATATGATAAATTATAGCCGTTCCGATAATTTAAAAAGCTAAGTGAATTAAAGAAAGTCAACTGCCCGTGAAAGCTATATTAAGAAAGGTCAGCTAAATTTCTCTCGCCTATTTAATAAGCTAAGAAAACGTATGAAACTGAATTATCCCTGTGAAAGTAATCAAGAAAGCTAGTTCAACTTTCACTTGCTAATTAATAGGTACACCTTACTCTATACAAGATCTACGTCGTTCAGAAAAAAGGATAAATTTTCAGTCTGTTTTAGAAAGTGACGAAAACTTTTTTAAAACTATTATCCCAGTGAAAGTAGAAAGCAAATTCACTCCTATTATAAAGAAAATCAATAGGAACGTTACTAGAAATTATAAAAGTACGTAATTATATATATTTCGAAAGTAATTATGTAGAAAGTATTCTCATAATCCCCGTAGAAAGTGATTATCGCCTTAGAAAGTACTATGACTCGTTAACTTTCTCTGGAATAGATAAAAAAGAAAGTATACCAAAATTATCATCGTATCGAACCGGAAAAACGAGAAATCCGATTATCGATTATCATCATTCCGATTAAAAAACAAATAATCGTTTAAAAATAATTTACAATTACTCCAATAATCACAATGACTAACGCATATACTAGTACTAGCAACAAGCAACTAGTAAGTAGATCCACATTAGTACTCCATTCAGGCGCTATTAAAAGTACTAACGCAAAATAGCGCTAGTGTGTAAAATAGTTATCACAGAGCTCTTATCTTGGTTTAAGTAATATGAACTAGCTAGCTTGTTATTGATGCTAGTACTTTATCGAGAGCGAATAGCGGGATTATAGCTATTTTATTCGTATCGCTTTAGAATCTTGAAGGAGTAACAAGCCTTCACCTCTCCCGCTAGCAACTGAAACCAGCAAGTGCCCAGAATCGCTAGTATTTATACAACCGATAACTAGCCATAACTCCTAAGCTAGTAATTAGAATCAGTAAATCAGCCATATCTTATTAATTATGGCTAGTATCTAGAACGAATAAACTAGCCATAAGTATCTAACCAGTAACTAGCCCGTACTAATAGCCAAGACCACGCTTTACTACACATAACTTTACGGAAAAAAAAATACCCAATCACTTCTATCGCTCTGAATAAAACATTTAAGTAACTAGCAACCGTAATATGTACAACTAATCACTTATAATATTCAAATTACTTAATAACTTTACTTACAAAAGATATCCGTCGAAACCGGACCTTGGGAACCCCTTTTATAAGTATAACATCTAAATACACTTCTATCGATTAATTTCCCTTATAAGACTTCCCCCCCTTAACAAAGACTCTGCTGTAAGTATTTTAATATCACTTCCTCGTTGGTGGGGGAAGAGGAAGGAGGAAGAGGTCTTATCTATATTGCGCTGTACCCCTTCAAGTGTTAAGCTAATTCTTCTCTATCTTCATTTATTGACCCCTTTCCCCTTCTCATCCCCTTCACTCCGTCTTCCCCTGACCTTGATGGTGAGAGAGAGAGAGAGAGAGAGAGAGAGAGTCTTTAAAGAGGGACGAAGACTCCAAATACTAAAGAGGACAGAAGTCTTTCCCACCTCAAGACTAATCAAGAGAGAGAGTCTATACCTGTCACGGTGTTGAGTCTTCAGGTAAGTGGACATTTTCAGGTGAACTGTTCAACACAAATCACACCAAATATGCAGGTACAACCTTTTACATATGTTATAATTATATACTACCTGTGTGTGTTTGTGTGCGTGTGTGTGTACGTGTTATAAATCAATCACCAAATTATATCATAAGGTGATTTACTTGACAGGTATGGTATAAATCAATCACCAGGTTATATTCCCCGGTGAAATTCTCGAGAAATCACAATTATCAATCACCTAAATCACCTCAATCACTTAATTTTCTTCAATTAATCCTACGTGGGTTTTTTAATTACCTTTTCCTCAACAAGGTGTGAATTGAATAGAAATATCCATTGAGTGTATCTATGTACGTCTTCTACCTGTGTGGATATATCTACCTGTGTGGATATATCTACCTGTGTGGATATATCTACCTCTCACACATCCACACCAACCTGACAAAAGATGAAATGAATAGAAGTAAAAAAAAAAAAAAAATATTGATTGATATCTAGCGGCGAAATAAAGAGTGTCCGAAACCGGCGAGTTAGAGGGAAAATATCTGGTTGAAATTACGATGAATAGGAACAGTTGGGCGGGTTCCTACACGGCTAGCGAGGGAGGGAGGGAGGGAGGGAGGGAGAGAGGAGTAGGAGGAGGAGGGGTTAGAGGTTTTGGAGGGAGGGAGAGAGGAGAGGTTACGTTACTTGAGCGAACATCTTCTTTCCTCCCTCCTCTACGACAACACCTGCTGATCTGTACTGTATGTAGGTGTAGCCAAGGTGTAGCCAAGGTGTAGCCAAGGTTGTCGATGTGATGGAGTAATCGCATGGATAACGCGAATCTCTCTTCAACGACACATACACACTATAATTACTAACACCTTAAAACCATACGAGAGAGACAGAGAGAGAGAGAGAGAGAGAGAGACAGAGAGAGAGACAGAGAGACAGACAGACAGACAGAGACACGGACAGATATTTTATTCTACATCTTATCTATTATATAATATTTATCAACTTACAATAACAAACTTGAGAAATTATATTGCTTTCCAGGTGATAGAATGACACACGTTCATATATCTTTATAATTAACCTTTTTAAACTCAAGTAAAAAAATATATATTCTTACGGTACAGTACAACCTCTATTTAACGCACAATCCGGAGAGGAAAATCCGCTATATCGAGGGAATATTATATGTGATACCTCCAATTAACGAACTATAATGAAAATGAAAGTCCATTACATCCAGGATCCAATTAGATATGAATCCCTTATCTAACGGATTATATAGAGAGACGAGTCCGTTATTTAGACGTTTTACGGTACTTTCGATTTTCCAGTACTTAGATTAAATCATTCAGGTAATATTAGAGCGGATTATGTATCTTCTGTTTACATGCAAATACATATAACACGTGTTTGTCCAGTTTAGTAAAGCACACCTACTCCCCCAAAGCGGCTTGTACCTTTTAGACGTAAATATAATCTCATCTAACTACACTTCATAAATCTCTATGACAACATGTAAATGAAGATCTCCTCCCCCCCTCCCTCCTCATTATACCACAGAGAAGAAAAAAACTCGAACTATGATACTTAGTGTGAGACGGCGAGTGTTCTGTTACCACTAGACCACGTTTCTTGATGTTCGACTCACTCATTCACCTCCTTCTTCTTCCCTCCCTCATTCTCTCTATGCTGCCTCACTCACTCCTTACAAATCTTCCTTATGTACACTTTTATCATCCGCTGCCCCCCCCTCCTCTCTCCCTTCATCGCGATAGGTGTGATAGGTGAGTAAAAAAAATTGATACATTACTCTTTTAAAAGTTTTTTTGTGTGTGTTGTGTTAGAGGTGTGTAAAGAGTGTTTTTACCACTTAAGTGAGAAGATGGGATGAGGTAAGTGAACCAACGAGTATAGCACACCCCGGGGATGTAACTGTGTAAAGTGTAGCATACCTCTTCCTACACCCAACCCTCTACACCCCACACCCCTACACCTAATCAAGTATACCAAAAATCCTCTCCACCGCATGTTTTGACAACTTAGCGTTTGAGGTGCACACACCCCCGCTGCCAATACCTGCAGGCCAGAGGTAAGGCGCAGGGTCCACACACACACAGACGAGTCACTTATAGAGCGGCACAGTCCACTCCCGTTATATCTACAGCTCCCCATATAGCCACATCTCGGCCATAACCACGTCAACCACTACAACATCACTCTACAGTAATATAACTACGGTAAAAGGGGGATTAAAGGAAGGGTACATGTTATAACTACACCTTTTTGTTAATTAGTTCACCTGGTGCCTTGGCAGGAGGGATGTGTGCGTGTGTGCGTGTGTGATACTCCTCAAGCCTACCTGGTGTTGCAAATATTTAGAACTATTACGTCACTTTTGCAGCTCGACTTTTGCTTATTTTCGCAGGGAGGAGCACACCTCACCTCGGGACCGGGGCTACAAATCAATCACGGGACGCTTGATTTCTCGACTTATCTGTTATTTCTTCAAACACATCGAGGGGTTTTATGCCGCTTCTAGATCAACATCTCATCCGTCAACTATTACAGAGGGAGCCTACGATAAACACACACACGTCTCTCAAGGGACGGTTTAAAAACAACTTACAAGATCGACACGTTCTAAAGAGTTCGTATTAAGACATCACATCACTGGATCAAGACCGAGGATGTTTTTTTTTTTCGCATGTTGTTTTTACAAGGTTGGCGGCCTGGAGATATGACCGTGTACACCACCAATCACCACACTCATCCCCTCCCCCTCCCATCTTAAGGCACAGCTATTTCCGGTGCCTTTTCCTTGACGTCCGGAGCCGACACATCCCAAATTATAGTCACATAAATCGGGCTCTGCCGATGATTTACAAGTAAAACTGTGGGCGGTGGTGGCAGGCAGCGGTGCCGGGCGGTGTGTCGCTGCCCGCCCCGCACCTCACCTTCCCCGCCACACTGCACTTCCCCCGGACACTTTTCACGTTTCAACCACGGCACTTAAGACACAGCGAGGCCCGGAGAACACGCTAGGAGGCACCTCGGACCAGCAGGAGCCACGTAGGAGGAGGACGAGGCAGGAGAACGTCGCGGAGGAGGTGGAGGCGGCGGGCGGCGGAGGAGGAGGCCATGGCTGGAGGTCGCTCGCTTACACTGCTAGCCCCGACCTCTCTCCCCATCGCCAAGGTGCCAAACTTAGCCGATGTCGTGTATGTTTGATAGGCGCGTGCCATCAGTAGGTGAGGGTGCCAAGAGGCAGCAGTGGTGGTGGTGTTGGTGTAGGGTCGGGGCCGTGCCTGCAGGGCCCCGTGGTCAGCCCAGGTGACCACCAGCTTACCTGTCACACTCCGCCTTCGTCGCAGCGTCCGGGCTCTGCGCTGCTGCTCCGCTGTAAACAATGTGTAGTCTTGCCAGTGGTAGTAAAGCACAGCGCGCGGGTGTCGTAGCACGTCAGCACATAGTGTGGCGCCGGGCGTGTCGCGACACAGAGTGAGCGCTCCGTGTGTGTGTGTGTGCTGCCCCGCAAACAATGCGCGCAGCCGCCCCGTGTTGTTCCACAGCCAATGCCGGCCACACTGAGTATTCTTACGGATTCTCGTCAGTGGCGGGCGCCGCTGCGCGTGACGTCACCGCACTGTTCCCCCATAACAAAACGTGGCGGCGCGCAGCCAATCAGCGCGCGCGGGGCCACAATGGCCGACCAATGGGGAGGCGCCTCCCCCCGCGGCGACCAACCATTGTCCGGATAACAATGGAGCCCACAACAACGGGGGCTGGACCACAATGCCGACACCCACAATTGGTCCACTGGCGCAGGTAAACCAGCCAACGAAAATTGCCGCTCGTCCCCCGAGCTCCCCGCCAAGAAAAAGCCGCCCATCGTGGAATTTTGTGGTCGCGAATTGGCAAGGTGGGGGCACGGCCGGCCTTTAAACCCCCACCTAACTAATGTGTATTTTTCCCTAGAAATGGCAGTGGTGTGGCGACTGAGGCCAGGATCGCGCCCTGGCTGTGAGGCGACGCCATTGGTCCCCTTCCTCCCCCTCATCCTCCCCCCGTGCTGTCGTCCTAACACCTCTTCCTCCCCCCTCCTGCCACACGCGGCCTAGCAGGGACACGCACCTCCCTCTCCTCTCCTATAGTCACCTACCCATAGTTCCTCAGTACGCCAGCAGAGAGCAAAGTCTTTAAATTTGTGTTATTGATTTTCTCCTCACTTTCGGGTCTTCCTCGGCCGTGTGGACGAGCGGAGGAGGAGGAAGACCTCGTCCTGGTAGCTAGTAAAGAGGGTGGCTGGGAGTAGGAAGAGGAGGGACGCCACGGGAATTGTCTCAAGTCTTACTTTAAAGACCCTCCATCCCTCCCTCACACACACACCGCCTTGCTACGCCCCACCTCGCCCACTTGAGCGGACGGATGGACGGACGGATAGATAGATAGGTAGGCGGGCGGGCGGGCGGGCGGAAACGAAAGAGGATGGTAGAGTCGCTAGTCTTTACCATTTACATCCAACAAGTCTATTAGAGAGAGAGAGATAGTGAGAGAGATACTGAGGAAGAGATAGTGAGAGGGAGAGAGTGAGGGAGAGAGATAGTGATGGAGAGAGAGAGTGAGGGAGAGATACTGAGGGAGAGAGATACTGAGGGAGAGAAAGAGATAGGTGTTGTGGATATAAGATAAAATACCTTCACTTGACCCTTGACCGAAGATGATTAAACTCGGTCTTAACAAAATACCTGTTAAGAAAAAAAATCGGTCTTGATTTCCACTACCGAGACTGAATTATTTTGGTGTTAAACTTATAAAAGACCGAATTTTGGAGTATATTGGACCGATTATTATTTTCTAACCTTCTTGAACTGTGAAAGACAGAAATTTGGTGTCTTGTAAAAAAAAATAAAAAAGACCGAATTTTAGACCTGATGATTCTAAAGAGACCGAATTCCTCAACCCTCACAAAACAACCATCGATTTTTTTTTACTTAGTCGAGAATTAAATACTTAAGTGACCCACGACCGGCAAAAAGCAAGTACCTCTCCCCCAAATTTCTTATGATCATCACTACAACAAAACTCAGTCTCTAAACAGTCTCTTGCCCTTTATCTCTTAACGTTGAGATACACTGAACCAAAAACAAAGACTCATCTTAAAAAAAACCCGTTAAATCGAATTCCAATAAAAAAAAAAAAAATAATAATAATTACTTAGTGTCAATCTATATATCACGTGATTATTAGTTTGGGGTGAAAATAACCCAACCTTAATGAGGGACAGGTGAGTGGCGTCGGGGTCAGGTGAGTGGCGTCGGGGTTAGGTTAGGGGATATTTACCTTCCTGAACTTCCTACAGAGTATTAAAAATCCATCCTTAATTGCCCTTCTTTCCCTACCGCTACCCTTCTTCTTCCCTCCTCCTCCTCCTCCTCTTCCTTCTTCCCTCCTCCTCTTTCTTCCCTCCTCCTCCTCCTCTTCCTTCTTCCCTCCTCCTCCGTCCCGCCGCCGTCAATTGAACAAAACCTCACCTAATTACTACCCCCAGGTGTTCTTGCCCATTCTACTGCCCGAGTGAAAACAAACAGCAACTTACCTCCCTATTGCCCACACCATACTAAAAAAAAAATACATCAACCTGTGATTAATTGCCCACGAAAAGATAATAAAAAAAATATGAAAATTACTGACCAAAGGAATGAAGATGTTGCATATCGTCCCGTCCAAGTGTTTCATGTCTACAGAGGAAAATATATCGAAATATATCAGTATAAATATATTTCCTAGTGTAACAAGAATCAGTGTATATAACAGAACCATCAAGTGACTCGAATAAAATCAAGAGGAAAAACGTACATAGCTATAAATGTACACATACAGCTAAATACATGTACACACCTGATTAACCACCAGGTGTATACACAGGTAAATGTATACAATATGTTTCACCTGCCTCCCGTGAGTAACAAATGCACTGAGACACTATATCTCTGAGACACTATATCCCTGAGACACTATATCTCTCACACTATATCTCTCACTTTCATAGTGTTCTACTCCCCCCTCTCTTAACCCCTCTCTCAGTTCTTCCCTCTCAGTCTCTCCCTTTTCCCCCTCTCTCGTTATCTCTTTCTCCCTTCATAGCACCCTTCTTCCCTCTGATGGTGGTAGTGGTGGTGGTAGTGGTGGTGGTGGTAGTAGTGGTGGTGGTGGTGGTAGTAGTGTGGTGGTGGTGGTAGTGGTGGTAGTAGTAGTAGTGGTGGTGGTGATAGTGGTAGTAGTGGTGGTGATGATGATAGTGGTGTTAGTAGTGATGATAGTAGTGGTGATGGTGGCGGTGATGGTGGTGATAGTGGTGTTAGTAGTGGTGATGGTGGTGTTAGTGGTGTTAGTAGTGGTGATGGTGGTGTTAGTAGTGGTGGTGGTGGTAGTGATGGTGGTGGTGGTGATAGTGGTGTTAGTAGTGATGATAGTAGTGGTGGTGGTGGTGTTAGTAGTGGTGGTGGTGATGATGATGATATTAGAACCGCGTGTCTTTCCCTCCGACCGTCTGTATAACGTGTATGTCTGTGTATGTCTCCGTGTAAGTATGCACGTGTCCGTGTGCGTGGCAAAGAGGACAATGAACCCAGGAAGGGAAATTTGACGACAACGCCCCTTTAGTCACCGCTGCTTGAGGAGCCTGGGAGGAAGAGGAGGGAAGGGGGAGGAGGAGGAGGAGAGGAGGAGGAGGAGAGGAGGAGGAGGAGAGAAGGAGGAGAAGAGGAGGAGGAGGAAGGCTATTCAAGGTCGTGAAGGAGGTGTAGATCGGACAACAGAATCTCCTCCTCCTCCTCCTCCTCCTCCTCTCCTCTTCCTCCTTCTCTCCTCCTTCTCCTCCTCCTCCTCTTCTTCTCCCTCGTCGGTTGCCTTCTCCTTCTCCTCTTAACAAAGGAAGGAACTGACACAAAAAAAAGACTATGGGAATGAGGAGGATGAACAGAAGGAGAGAAGGAGGAAGGAGAAAAGAAGAGAGGAGGAAGAGGAATGAGGAAGGAGGAGAAGGAGGAAGAGGAAGGAGAAAGAAGGAGGAGGAGGAGGAAGGAGTGAGAAAAATTATCTTCTTTTATTGTAAATTTTGTAGTTCTTTTATTTCAACATTTCCCGGTGAATTTACGTACCCGAGGAACGTCCGTGATTTTGAGACGATGTACGTGTTTCTGAGATATTTCATGTACGTGTTTCTGAGAGATTTCATGTAAGTGTTTCTGAGATATTTCATGTACGTGTTTCTAAGAGATTTCATATACGTGTTTCTAAGATATTTCATGTACGTGTTTCTGAGAGATTTCATGTACGTATTTGTGAGAGATTTCATGTACGTGTTTCTGAGAGATTTCATGTACGTATTTGTGAGAGAGATTTCATGTACGTGATTCTGAGAGATTTCATGTACGTGATTCTGAGAGATTTCATGTACGTGATTCTGAGAGATTTCATATACGTGATTCTGAGAGATTTCATGTAGCCTACGTGTTTCTGAGATATTTCATGTACGTGTTTGTGAGAGACTTAATGTACTTAATTTGGAGTGAATAGCGTCCGTGTGACTGAATAAACCAACGTCCGTAGTATTAAATGAATAACAGGCTTAGAGGAACAAAGTCCGTGATTCAAACAAACAAACAAACAAACAAACAGCGTCCGTAGTTTTAAATAAATAACCCCCATATTTTTTCTATTTTTTTTAATTCTCATTTTTTTCGTCATCGGCAATACTGAAATTTCCCGATACCTCATTTCCGATACGATATTACTAAAACCTCGATGCCGATAACACACTGTAGTTGTGATATCAAGAAAATGGTCCCGATACCAAATAACTATCGCGTTATATCTACAGCCGATACCAGATGCATGGCCGGTCGCTTGTCAGTGCCGATAACAATTCCTTCACGTTGTATTTCATAGACACCGATACCAATTATTTGTTCTTCATTTGCCGATTTTCTCGAATACGATACCAGGTGTTCACTGTGTGTTCGCGATACCGTTCTTACACTTAACCCGATACTAACCCGATATACTCGTCCTTATATTTCGCTGCCGATTCTACGGTCATCTCGCGTACCGATACTAGACCGTTTAATTATTCTTCCCTGATACCGATGCCATCCTAAATCCGATACCAAGACCCGAGACTACGATTATCTTACATGCCGATAACAGGCCATTTATCCTTCCCGATACCAGCGCCACCTCTGTAAAAACAAATCTGCTCCTCTTCCTCCGCCTTTCCGATACCAAATTCCTCCTCCGCCTTTCCGATACCAAA